AGGAAGACTAGAACGAGGCGTCAAGTACGAGCGAGAGTTGTGTGCAGGAACAGAATTGAGAAAGGGGAATGATTGAACTAGCAAGAAGCAGGATACAAATAGCAAACCCTAAGGGGCTGTACTCACTATTGAGTACCCCACTGCAGGCTACACAAACAACATATTCTGACAATGCATACATGGCAGCAAGAATAGCCTCATAGTCAAGATCAAAGATAGGTACATCACGCCTAAGCAGGTCTGCCCAGTTGGGGAACTCAGTAGCATCAGGAAACTTGGCGCGCCAGGCGTCGCTAAGCCGAGCGAAGCAGCGCTGCTCAGTGTGAAACCCTGTGCACTGGCGACCAGTGCGGGGACCTGTGCGAATGATATAGGTGTCAGAATCAAGAGACATGAATGGATGAACTATGAAAGAGTTGGGTACAAGTATGAAACCCTAAAAGGAGCTGTACCCCATGTTGGCTACCCCACTACAGCCTACACATATATAACATGCATATACTTTGACACACCCCCATAGGCAAAGTGGGGGAGAGCAAGGGGTCACAAGACCAGTCAAGAGAAGCAAAGCAAGCTCAGGGTGGATCACAACGTCACCACACACACTGAGCACAAGCAGAGGGCCACAAGGCCAGTTCACATGCAGAGGTATATATGCAACAACAACAGCGCAGTGATCTCTACCTAGCAGAGCAAGCATGCAGGTATATATATCGATCACAGAACAGGCAAAGTCTACAGCAAGTGAGGAAACGTAGGCACAAGGCCTAACAGAGTGCAGAAACGCTGATGATCACCAGACGGAAGCGCCTTGGTGAATATATCAGCAGTGTTGGCCCGAGTGGCCACGTGAGCAAGACGAAGCTGACCACGCTGCTGCAACTCTCGAGCCAGGAAGTAACGCAGAGCGATGTGCTTCGTTCTGTGCTCCAGTCTGTGCTCCTGACACAAGGCAATGGCAGCCTTGTTGTCGACGTACAGCACTGGAGGAGAACGAGGCCTCTCTCCCAAGTCGGTCAGCAGGTAGGTGAGCCAGCGTAACTCCTGTGCAGCCATGGCTGTGGCGTAGATCTCAGCCTCACAACTAGAGCTGAGAACTGAAGACGAGTGTGTAGAACGCCAAGAAACCGAACCAGAGCCAAGGCTGAAGGTGTAACCCTGTGACGACCGCTGCGTAGCCTGGTCGTCAACCCAAGAAGCGTCTGAGTGCCCAGTGAGGACAACTGGGCTCCGCCCTCCAAGCACGAGCCCCATGCCCGATGTACTGCACAAGTAGCGTAGTACCCTCTTAGCAGCATCCATGTGCACCTTTCGGTGCCGACCAGGAGCCACGTAGCGAGCCAGAAGGCCAAGAGGGTACGCAAGGTCAGGACGAGTGCAGGTCATCAGGTACATGAGGCAGCCCACTAGCTCTGGGTAAGGACCACTCGGCTCTACAGACTCGTCCGAAGGTGGAGCTGAGAGCGAGTGACCTGTACCCAGAGGAGTGTGCTGTGCCGAGGACTAGGTGAAGGCGAAGCGCTGAAGGACCTGCTGCACCATGTGTGACTGAGTCAGTGTGATGGTGCGGCGTGCTCTGTCCCGGGTGGTCCGCAAGCCAAGATAGCTTGTCAGCTCACCCAGGTCTGTGCACGTGTGTCTCTTCTGCAGCTCCGACTTCACCTGGGCGAGAGCCTCAGTGTCAGCAGTGGCAAAGACCAAGTCGTCGACGTACACGAGGATGTAGAACGGCGGCAGCGAAGTGTCGGTGCGCAGAAACAGCGACAGGTCAGCAGTCGACGGAGCAAACCCAAGAGCCGCAAGTGTCGTCCTCAGTGTGTCGTGCCACTCACGTGGCGCCTGGCGGAGACCGTAGATAGGCCGCCTGAGGCTCCACTGGGTACCAGGAGGGAACGACCCAGTGAAGCCAGGTGGGCGGCGCAGCCAGATCTCCTCGTGCAGGCTGCCCTGTAAGAAGGCTGTGCTGAAGTCAAGAGAGTGAAGCTCGTAGTCACGCTGAGCGGCAACGTGCAGCAGCACCCGAAGAGTGGTCATCTTCGGGGTGGGGGAGAAGGTCTGGAAGAAGTCTACTCCCTCTCGCTGACTGAAACCTCGTGCAACGTAACGCGCCTTGAAGGCAGGCGGAGAACCTGGCGGCCGCTTCACCCTGAAAATCCACATGCCACTGACGATGTTCGCCCCAGGTGGGGGAACCTCGTCGACGTAGGTGCCTGTGGACTTCCAGGATGCCATCTCTGCGTCCATGGCTGTCTGCCACTGAGAGGAGTACTCACCCGCGATCGCCTCAGCGTAAGAGCGCGGGGTCGGGATGTCTGGAGCATCCGGGTCTCCCTCAAGGGCAAGCAGCATGGACACGAGATGAGGCGCAGCGGCTGCAAGACACTCAAGGTCCTCCTGCCTGTCCTCAAGGACGTCCGTGCCAAGAGCACACTCACCCCCGACGGACGGAGGACAGTCAGACTCAGACTCTTTGTTACCTTTTGGTCTCTCAAAACTTGAACTCTTGGACTTAAGCGTCTCTAGTTCTATCTTAGCATGGCTTCGATTCTCTCCCGTTCCGTCCCTTTCGTTCTCGCTTGTAACCGCCAGTTCTGCTCATTCTCTTATTATAGCCTCTCTCAGGATCTCTCTCATTCCCTCTCTTGGTTTCCGCTCTCGTTTTCTCTGCCATTCCCTCGTCATTCCCTCTCCCATTCCCTCTCTCATCCCTCTTCTGTTCCCAACAGAACACCCGTGGATTAAAGCGCTAATTTAACAGGACTTTATTATGTGAATGCGGACAACAGGGAGTTAAGATCTTTTGAAACAATTGAGGAAGAAGGCAGTTGTCAGAGTCCTTCCAGTGGTTAGTGAGGGTCCGTCCTTCCAGTGGTTAAGCGATAGTCACGTGAAAATCACTTCTGAGATGTTTCAAAACTTTTGAGACGTTTCAAAAACTAGAACTCTCAAAAGTCAGTTGTCAGGGTCCTTCCAGTGGTTAGTGAGGGTCCGTCCTTCCAGTGGTTAAGGGCATTTAATCACTTGCATTCACCTTCGACTGTGATTTCGTCAAATGTGGTAGTGTGTGTGTGTTGCAAATCGGGAAAGAGGGGAGGGTGTGGTAGTGTGGGAGAGGAGGAGTGAGAACAGGAGGGGTGGTTGAGAGGAAGGACAAGAGGAAGGGAGGAAGGAGAGGAGGAAGGATAGGAGGAAAGGAGGAAAGGAGGAAGGAGAAGAGGAAGTGAGGAGATTCGAGTAGTGGCAGGTTCACTCCTACTGCTACCCAAGCACCTTGACTGGTTTTTCTGAAGCGAGAGTGGCATCGGTGGCAGTAGCAGCACCACAGCAGATAGCTTTTGAGTCAACTCAAAAGTCGGGTGTGGCATTGGTGGGAGTAGCAGCAGCAATGCAGGTGCGAACTCAGGCAGCTGCGCTAGTGTCAGCACAATCAGAGGCAGCAGCAAGAGTGCCAGCACAATCAGAAACAATGGTACCAGCACAAGAAGCTGGGTCCAACCTGACATCTCATCTGCACCATCCAATCTGCCGCCTATGTTGGAAGTGGACACTGGAATGGCCCGAAGTGGTCTCCCCAAGGGCTACAGGTGTCGTTCTGAGGGCTATGGGTGCGCTGACCCACTAAGGAAACATGCTCTTTTAGCCTAGTTGGTTTGCGGACTCGACATGGTGTAATGAGCGTGGAGGACCAGGGTTCAATTCCTGTTGTTGGCGACTTTTTGTGCCCTAGTGGTGGGTCCTCCCAGTGAGGGGAGTGTTGGAAGTGGACACTAGAATGGCCTGAAGTGGTCTCCCCAAGGGGCTACAGGTGTCGTCCTGGGGGGGTATGGGTGCGCTGACCCACCAAGGAAACATGCCCTTTTAGCCCAGTTGGTTAGCGGACTGGACAGCCTCATCTGCACCATCCAATTTGACATCTCATCTGCACCATCCAGTCTGTTGCATCGTCTGCAACTTGCTGATATTTATGCGATTATCCTTTTCTGACACCGTCTGGTCCGGTTCCCAACAAAACGATTTGCTGTGGAGTTTAACCAAGTTATTTCATTAGATGTGTAATGTTCCACACGCTTAAATTCTTCCTTCTCACACCGTTCCCCATGTGGCTTTACTCACCCTTTTTCTCCTTGGAGTCTTCCAACCAAGGGTTTTTTTATCAGTGTAATTTACTCTGTTTCTCTGAAAATCAGAGTGGTTTTTGGGGGGTCACTCTGTACTTGCTCGGTAATTTTTTTGAGAGTTACTTGTTCTCTGATCAGTCAGGGTTTTTGTGTAAGTTCACTCTGGAGCGCCAGTGTTTTTTTCCCGGATAGTGAGATTACTCTGTACGGGGGATACATGTACCCCCGAACCCCCACGTTCCCCCTTATCCCCTCGTTGCCGGATTTGACCGGAGCGCAGGGGATATCAGTCTTGTTTCGCTCGTGTGTTGGCACTACCTGAGGTTCTGATTAGCCGGAATGGCATATTTCGTGCCAGCGCACGCATCTGGCCACCCACCAGATACATCGCTGGCTTTGCGTACCCCATCAGCAATGAACAACTCCTACTTTCGGGCATGATACGCCAGCTTCCTTTGGTGCACTGATTTCGTGCGCGGCGCGCACATTCACACATGTTGCTCGGCTGGCAGACGGGGTCACCACCAAACCCCATCCTGTCCTCCCATTATGTTTCTTCCCACTGCACTGCTCTTCAACGTTCCAGTCTAGCGAGTTTTTAGTGGGCTTCTCCAGCCATAGCCCCTCCTCCTGCAGCTTTTTTGTGCCGTCAATACCATGGATACTAGCGACGCCGAGGGAGACGCGGCTGATCCCGACGACAGGCCGACATGTAGCACACCCCCTGCGACTGGGCTTCAGTTTCTCCGCTCTGTACATGAAGATTACGTTCGCGATGAAGAGGCGCTGGGCGATGGCGGTACCGAATGGATGCGACGTCCACGCAAGAAATCTGGTGACATCAAAGATGCGAACGACGATTGGTGTCCATCTCCGCGCCCGATGAATGACGCTGCTGAGTCAGACGGTGTTGAGGAGTGGATCGCCTCGCCGCGAAACGAGGTTGCTGCAGAGCCGGCTGCAACGGTTGCAACGCAGGTTGTCGATGCGGCCACTACTGAGTCGACTGGTTCAGTCGCTGTGAAGAAGCGACGATTAACGCAGCAGGTTTTGCAGTAGGGAACACCGCCGCCGAAGCCTGTCGCTCCACCTCCCCGTGCTGCCCCACCCCCCATTCGTCCCCTTTCAGACGAGGAGAAGAAGGAGAAGGCGTACCTGAAGGCGCAGAAGAGCTACACGTCTGATTGGCTGCCGAAGTTTGACTGGCTGATTCTGGACAGGACCCCTGAGGGTGACCCGTGTCTGCGATGCGGTGTCTGCATGGAGCACGGGAAGGACAACGAGCGTTACGGTCGCAATGGCGCTGGCGGTCGTGATCTGCAGATCGGGTCGATGCGGTGGCACGAGAACAGCGCGAAGCACGAGGACGCGATGAACAAGCAGGCGAACCTTCTGCAGAAGATCGCCGACCAGAAGAAGATTGAAGACTTCGCGAAGGGAGATCCCGAAGGATGTCGCGTCGCGGTACTCATGCGAGCCATGCGATTTGTGTGCCGTACCGACACACCCATCCACATGTACCCGCAGATCGTTCAGCTTCTCGCAGTGGAGGGGGTCGCCAACATACCGCGACAGAGCTATGGAGTGTACATCACACAGTGAGTTGTAGTTGTATCTATTGTTCTTGAAGCAACCGTTTATGTTTAACTATGCTAATACGTTGTGCTATGTGTCTGCGCAGGTACGGTTTCTCCGAGATGGCCAGGGCTCTCACCGTGTATCTGACCAGAGAACAATTGCGCCACCTCCACGCCTCGCCGTGGATCGGCATCATGTGCGACGAGAGTACCGATCGCGCCCGTGGCAAACACATGATTGTGTTTGTCACGTTCCTCAAGAACAGCGTGGTTGTAACCGAGTTCCTCGCGTTACTTACCGTCCATGAGTGTGATGCGGCATCGCTCATGAACGCACTGATCCAGCATCTCGAGACGGTGGGCATCGACTTGCAGAAGATTTCAGGAATGTCCACGGACGGCGCGGCAGTGATGATCGGGGGCACGTCCGGCCTTGTCACGCGACTGCGCGTCCACGTCCCCCACCTTGTCGGCTGCCACTGCATTGCGCATCGGTACGTTTGTCGGGGCTGCGAAATAGAGTAACTGGTTTAACGTTACTTTGTCTTAAAGTCATGTAACAATCTTATTAATTGTTTCCTACTTTTGCTTGCAGCGAAGCACTTGCTGTGAAGGACACTGCCGGTGACGAGCAGTTCAAGAATTTTGGGATGGTAGACAAGGCCATCCGTGCGGTTGGCGAGATCGTGGGGAGATCCGCGCCGTGGTACGAGAGGTTCAAAGAGCTCCAACTCGTGATCCACAGCACCAACCTCGAGCACCAGGGACTGTTCGACGTGCGCTGGCTCTCCCGTGCCGATGCTGTCAACCGCCTTGTCAAGATTTTGGGGTCGGCAATCGTGCTGTTCCTGGAGTACAAGCACAAGATCGCCGCGGTTGTGCAGACCCTGAAATTTCACTTCTGTCTGTACTTCCTGGCAGACATTTTGGGGGAGTTGAACTCCCTGAATTGTTTCTTCCAACGACGCAAGGTAAATCGTGCCCAGAGCCGGCTTGTTGATACACACGTATAACCGTCTTTATTATTCTTTTTACCGCAGAGACTAACAAACAATTTTTACCCCGTGTCGGTCCGGCAGGTGGAGGTGACGCAAGTCACAGAGGAGGTCGACCGTGTGGTGTCCCTCATCGAGCACCGCTACATCGACTACGAGGGTGGTTTCGGGGCGGGTCTGAGCACCCACTTGTCTCCATTCATGGCACGTGTCAAGAAAGGGGACAAGAAGGTGAAGGTGGACGGTGTGGACGCTAGCGGCAGACCCGTCAAGCACACCTTCGAGCTCAGCGAGCTGCCGGACAAAAAGCACAAGTTCGGCGGGACCCTGGCAGATTGCGTGAAGATGGGCAAGGCCTTCGCCCGTGAGGTCGTGTACAACCTGAAGCACCGCATGCGAGATCTTCGTCGAATGGGCGGCATGAAACTGTTCAGGGTGGACAAGTGGCCATCGAATCCGGACACGCGTGTGAGACGTTGTGCCGCATGGCTCCGTGAGAACTCACAACTCTTCAACCACCACCTGCCAGGTATTTGGAAATCTAATTTCGTTCGTGTTTGTTTGCTTTCCTGGAAAAAATGCCTTACGTAAATGTCTACCGAAAGTTCCCGAACAAAAAAACCCCTGTGCTGTGTGTACTGTGTTGGCAGGATTCGACCTGCGGGCAGCCGAACTTGAACTGAAAACTTTCTGCCACATCATGAGGACGCACCACGAGGACGAGGATTTCTACCAGGCGCTGACGAACATGCTGAGGTCACGCGACTGGCCGCGAACTTACCCCAACATCATGACCCTGTGGCAGGCGTTGGCCGTCCTGCCACTCAGCACCGTCGAATGCGAGCGTGGATTTTCACGCCAGAACATCATCAAGAGCTGGCAGCGCACGACTCTCAACGACACGCGGCTCACTGAACTCATGAGCATCCACATGCTCGACTACAACGTGGAGTGGCCAGATGTCGTGGACATCTGGCGCAAGCAGAAGAAGAGGCGGCCGACAAAATCCCCTGCACCCTTCCAACCAGCGGCTGACAAGAGCAAGCCTGAGGCCAGTGCGGACGATGAGGGGGAGGCTGACATGGCAGAGGATGAGTGAGCCTGTAGTAGTGGGATGGGACATTGTGTACAACGTGTTTAGGAAATATAAATATTCAACATTCCTAACTATGCAACAGCACAAGAACCAACGCGTACTCAAACATCAGGGTGAACAAAAAAAATTACTCTGAGGTGCCAGGGTTTTTAAACTGACAGCCTGTGTTACACTGACAGTTAAGAGAAAGGCTCGCCAAACACTCTGGATTTCAGTGTAATGCCAAAAACGCCTCTGGAAACCAGTGTACTCTAAAACGAAAAAAAACCCCTGCTTCCAACATTCGTTCTTTGCACTTAAAAGTGCTTCTTTTGTGATCCATGAACCACTTTCAAATATTTTACTGTTTGGAAGGAAATTCTATTCTGCATTCATGCTTTCTCTGAACAACACTGGAAAAAAAATGTACCTGTGCCTTACAACAGCTTTGCCTTGACCTGAGCTTATGTCGGTGGGCTCGCAGTTTTACCTGGTCCTTTTATAAAGAGGACCGACTGCCCTGGCCTGCCTGGAAACCACCCGTCGCCGCCTCACGCTTCCACCTGCCCCTGCTGCTGCATTGATGAGGAAGTGCACTGTTACACTGGATGCAGTTCTTGGTGACCACGTCAGGCTGTGTGCCACGTCTGATGTCCTTTTGCCAGAGGAGATGAAACGGAGGAAGCTGTTTTTCTACTGCAGCATGGAATCCGCCGATCTGAACCATAACAATACTTCTTAGAAACCTTGTAACCTTTATGCACCACGCCATTCGAGGAAATGAAACCATGACGAACCTTCAGTGAACGGTTGATGCCCCTTGCTCACTGCTGATCTTACCCGCACGCCGACAAGAACTGATTTGATACGGCAACATGGATGTGTGTGACTGGCAACACTCTCATGACATGATTCAGCTGCAAAGTGAACGTGTCACCTCCTCAGGGCACAAGATCCACCGTGTCGTTGTGCCGTTCCTATCCGAAATGCATCCAAACCATTCAAGCTGCCCAGCTTGCAATATCCGTCGTCCTGAGTCCCACCCCCTCCAATCACAAAACCAGGCCCAAACTCCAACCAATCAACCAGACATACCCAAACCTGAATCGCGTCGCGCTTACGCGTCGCGTCGGAAGCTTCACCTCGAGAAATTTATACAAACTTCGGTTCTGCGCGGTTTCGTTGGGGAATTGCGTTAGTAGCTTCCAACCACATGAGCCAGAACACGCAACTCTGGATCCACCTGGCTTTCTGTTCCCGCCGTTCAAGCTCCAACGTGAGTTTGAGCTTTTCATTCCATCGAAGTTCCAGGTGAAAGTTGAGCGGCTCGGGTTGAGCTTTTCGAGTTGAGCTTTCCATTGTGGTTCAGGTGAAAAGTTGAGCTCTTCATTCCATCAAACATTTTCCCGTCAAATGCTCAACGAGCTGCGTCGAGTATCCGAAATTCCGCTCCAATTAGTACTAAATTTGAGGGACAGTTTATTAGCGACTCGTTCCAAGAATCGTCAATCTGGTGCTTCAGAGCAAAGAGTCGCGCACAAACGAGTCGTTAACGAATCAACCGCAGATGGCTCTCGTGCAGCAGCGCTCCCAGCGGCGATTATCTCCCGCGGCTGGTGGCGCGCTCGGTTCTTACCAACCGCCCAGCCACTACGGCGCCGCGCCCGGGACGACGAGTGCGCCGATGAACCAGAAACCGCAGCTCACGCCGCGAGGGGCGGCGCAACCGGAGCCGACAAAGGCGGAGCTTCAGATGGCGAAGGCGCAGGAGCTTATGCGGAAACTGAACAGACCGGACCTGCACGCGAAGCAGCCTCCCCCGGAAAACGATAAGAAAGAGAAGAAGGAGAGGCCGCGGCTATCGAATTACGATATGCAGCAGCTGGTGAACCCTAATCTCTCTAAGATGAAGGGCGCTCCGGCTTTGTCACAGAAAATTCAGAGGCAGTCCTCTGGGATAACGTGTCAACAGAACGCTGCGGCGTGCCAGCCGCCGCAACACGCGGCGCAGTTTCAGCAGCAAAATAGGCCGTTGGGGCATCACGGACCAGGAACTTCTATGGGGGAAGCTTCCCCGCAACTTAACAAGAACACGTCGCTGCCGGTCGGGCGGAGAAACGCGGCTCCTCTGGGAGCTTCCGGTCAGCCGATCCGAAGCAGCGCCGCCGGTATGGTGGGCCCGAACCAGCAAGGTCGGTTCGGGGGCCCTTCGGGGCAAGCGCCCGGACCTGGAAATTTGGGTCGGCGGGTGAGTCTTCCGGCCGGGTTTTCAGGGGAAGCTGATGTAGGATATGGCTCGTTAGGGCAACTGCCGCCGCAATTGTCGCCGCACGGGCCGCCGCAGACATCGCCGCAAGGACCGCCGCAGCCGTCGCCGCGAAATGCGGCCCCGCCCCCGTTGAAGAGCCCCGTGGGGGCGGGAATGCGGTCGCCGCCCATGTCCTCTCAGGGCGAATTTGGGGGGGGCGGAGGAGGGGGGATGAGCGGAACGGGGGCGGAAACGTGTTCGTTAAGCAGCAGCAGGTCACTAACGAGGATGCTCGAATGCAAGGAGGTTAGTGGCGATAGTAGCCCGCGAGTTTCGGGGGGCAGGTCCACCCGGGAAGGGCAATTACGGCCAGAAATTCCTCGACGTGGTTCGATTGATGACTTGCGCTTCGGCGCGGGTTGTGGTTATAGCGAACAGGGAGGCCCAAACCCATCTGCGGTGAGATACGCGGAAGACGAGGATATGTACGGCGTAGCAGAGTCGGCGGAAGAGGAAGAGGGGGAACAGGGGGGGGAGTGGAGTGAGCGGAGCGCGGAGGACGAGCGGAACGTCCGCGGAGCGGTGCCGTCAGGCGCTCTCAGGTCTCCGCACGAGGCCGCATCCCCCATGTCCTTTTCCCCGCACTGTCCGTCCCCGCAATGCCCGTCCCCGCGCCTCCCCCCCCAGCGGCCCCGTCGGAGCGGCTCTAACGTGGACCAACTTTTAAGGACGTCCTTAGAAGACCTCCAGGCCGACTCGCGGAATTGCAGGAGCCTCTGCAACTCCAATAGTAGCTCGCCAAGTGTCAGCCGCTGTAACAGCGTCGACGCTCCTAACGACGTCCCCTTTGGTAGTACCGGGGAGGCTAATAACGGGGACGGGGCAGCCGCTGCCGCGGCTCGAGGAAGGTCCAGGCTCGGCCCGAGCCGGCAAGGCAGCCTCGTCTCAGGCTCCGCCGCCGCGATCGCCGCCGCCGCCGCCGCCGTTGGTGGGGCTGGCGCTCCGGCGGGAGTCGCGCGAGTTTCCGGCGCTCCGCAGCCCGTCGCGCTAAGCGCCGCGGCCGCGCGCAAGTCGCTCCAGAACTTGCGGAAGAACCCCGCGACCGGCGGCGGAGGCGGAGTGGCAGGGCCGGATTTCTCGTCCTCCGCGCCGGCCGGCGCGCTTGCCGGCCCGCGATTAGCGGCAGGACAACAGGCGCCGCCGGCTGGGCGCGGCGGAAAGGCCACAGTGGCGCGCACGCAGTCTATGGATTGCTCGAGCGGTGCGCATCTGGGGAAGGTCGTACTTAAATCCCGCGCCGCGTCAGTCGATATGGCAGGCGTGGCCGCACTAGCCGCCGCAGCAGTAGGGGCGGCGGCAGCGGGAACAGCGGCGGCGACGGCGGCCGGAGCGGCGGGAGCGGTAGGAGGGAAGGTTCCGAAGTCCTTCTCCGCCAGTGGCGCCGCGTCTTTCGGCGGAAAGAGCTCTCCGCACGTGACGCGTGTCGCTCGCTCGCTCTCCTCCCTCTCCGGCGAGCTCACTGCTTCGTCCGCTGCTTCTGGCGGAAATAGCGGGATTGGTTCCATCGCCGCCGCGGCCGCCGCGACTGCCGCGCTAGACGACGAAGTTTGCAGTGTGGAGGAGATCCGATCCGCGTTTTACAAGGCCAAGGGCGGCGGAAAGGGGATTTTAGGGTTTGCGATGCGCGGACTGTCGCATTTGTCGGGGATGCTGGGAGGGGGGGGCGGCTTGACGGAAAACGTTCTGGGAAGGGAATTTTCCGCGATTGAGAAGAAATATTTCGTCATGATGGATCAGGAGCTAGGGGCGGGCCAGTTTGGCGTGACGCGGATGGCCAAGTGCAGACAAACGGGGAAGCAGTTTGCGTGCAAGTCAATCTGCAAGGCAAATCTCAAGGTAAGTTTCATTGCTAGAAGATAGCGGTTTGAGTGTCAACCCTCCCCCCTCCTTTCCCTCACTCTCATCTGCTTCTCTAGCTCACTCCCCTCGCTCCTTGCACTCACTTCCCTCACCCACTCCCTTCTCTAACTCGCTCCAATCCCTCAGTCACTCTCTCCCCTTCTCACTCCCTTCCCTCGCTCACTCACTCCCCTCACTCAATCACTTCTCTGAATCACTCCCTTCTCTCACTCACTCCCTTCCCCACTCTTTCCCCATCCTGACCCCATTCGGCAGAGCAAATCAGACTTGGAGGATATCAGAAGAGAGGTTTCGATGCTCGAGACCTTAAGGCCCAACCCTAACATTGCGCGGCTAGAAGAAGTGTTTGAAGATGAGGAGGTGAGGCAAGAAAATCTGAGGATGCACGTTGACTTACACATGCACATTGTGATGCACCTCACTTTTGTTGTATGGCCTGATCCTGACATTGCCTGGCTCCAGGAAGAGTTTGACGATGAGAGGGTGTGAGCACGAGGATGTTCATGCACATGCACATGCACAACCACATGCGCATACACTCACATGCACATGCATATCCACGTTCACTTGCATGCACACATTGATATGAACTTGCACATGCACATACACATACACATGCACAATCACATGTGCACGGACATGCACAATGCATCATAACGGCACCTTCTCATGCCAACCACTCACTTCCTCATTCACTCACCCTTCACCTTATCTTCCTCTCCCCATTTCCAGGGTGTTCACATGGTGATGGAACTATGTGTTGGAGGAGAGCTCTTCGACAAGATCAAGGAGAAGAAACGATACGAGGAGAGAGAAGCCGTCCCGGTCATGCGAACCATCCTCGACGTGCTTGCATTCTGCCACATGCGCGGCATCGTGCATCGTGACATCAAGCCCGAAAACGTCCTCCTTACAAGCCCCGACTCGATAACCGAATGCAAGCTCATCGACTTTGGCGTGGCTACGGTCGTCAAGCCCGGCGCAAAGCCATTGTGTGATTTTGTCGGATCGCCGTTTTACGTTGCTCCGGAAGTGATAGAAGGGAGTTATGGCATCCCGGCTGATGTGTGGTCAGCCGGGGTTGTTCTCTACGTGTTGATCTCGGGTGTTCCACCTTTTTGGGCACGAACGGATGCTGGGATTATGAAGGCAATCAAAGAGGCGAAGCCGTGCTTCAAAGGGGAGGCGTGGCGTGATGTGTCGTTGGAGGGAGTGGACCTTGTAAGGAGAATGTTGACGCGGGATCCGAAGAAGCGACTAACAGCTCGAGCTGCTCTTGGTACGAGGACATGTAGGATACACTGCTTTCCCCTCAAACCGTATGATTCTTGCCTGTCTGTATGCCTTCCAGCATTGTATGCACCAACTCCCTGCCATCTCGCTGACTCACACAATTTCATGTTTCCCCAAACCCCCATCGTCCCGTGCAGAGCACTCTTGGTTCTCCGTTTGGAATGAATGAGCCGCACACGGCAAGCTTTATACCCAAAGCTCGTATAGCATGTTAAAAATTGTCCAATGTGTATAAAAGGTTTGTTCGTCTGCATACAATCCTGATTCGGACTGAACGAGTGTGCTCCTCACACTCTAGCAACTATACACATCAGAATGCAGTGTAACTGAGGTTGTTTTGTTCCTGTTACTGCAAATGTTTGTTCTTATGGATTGTGTAAGACTATGTTTTACTGACCAGTGTCCACACTAGTTCAACATTCCTACCTGTGCGGTTATAAAGTGGATATCAGTCGTGAGATTTTCATTCCTTACGTCAGCGTGCGGCCTTGTTCATGCATGTATTTGCATGGCTTGCCTTGCCCGCGCGTGAAGTCAACGATCAACCACCTGACTTTGCCTGACGCAGGGGTCTCGATTCGTTTTGGGCCACCCTGTGGAATCAGAGTTCGGGGTCAAAATCACACTGCCGCTGCAGTGTACCTGATGCGGCGCACCCTAGAAATGGCAGGGTGTTCAAACATGTTTCGTCTGATCTGGCAGGGTGGAAAAAAAAACTACGCTGCTGTGGTGTATGGTCTAGGAAGGAAGGACTTCCACTCGGATCATGAACAAGAAGTCACCGCGCCATTTGACGCCCGTCCATCCTTGACGTGGTGTGAGTGAGTCATCGTGTCCAGCACTTAGCCGATTTTCGAGTTTTCTGGTGAAAATGACGGGAGTACACGAAGGGACAAAGGTTCGCAGACTGGGTCCGCCACTATCGAACTCGGCCAAGGCAGTGTGTTACGAATACTAAAACTGCAACATAAGGGTGGTTTTTATACGTGGCCGGATGGTGACAGGGTGGTAAAGAAACCGAATCCTGTATTTACAGGGTGGTCACAAATAATCACCCTGAAAAACAGGCTAAACAGGGTAAAACGCCCTGTAATCCTGAGGCCTGGCCTGACGCTTTCACCGCTTGTTATGGCTGGACGAAGCAGATCGCAAGCAGGCGCAGTCGTCCTCGCTTTGCGCGACACAACACCGCCGCTGGTCGTCATATGACACATGGGCTGTGGCACCAACAATTGATTGCACTTCGGCTGGTGTCTCATGTTGTCTACAAGACCTGGAAAGCGGGCACCACTCTTCCTCAGGCTCCGAGGGATGGAAAGATTTTTGAAGGGTCAAGAGGGTGTTAGATGCATGAACGGTATAACATGTCTATTCTGTACTTCTCAATCCTCACTTTCGATTGCACTTCTGTAGAACTCTGGAGCACTCCACAGTTCATTTGAAGTACACCACAGTGCATTTCAGGCAAGCCTTTGAAACCAGGAGGTCAGAAACAAACACCTTGAAAACGTATTTCATTGAACCATTTGTCTGCTTTGTCACTTGCACCGGCCTCCTTCACCCGTGCTCTCACCTTGTTGCGCTGTTCTTCGCCCAGACGCGCCAACAGCTGTCACATATTTGACCACTGTGCTCCTGATGGGGCTGATGTGGGCGGGAATTATCGTTTTGAACCCTTGTCGCCTGTCCCTGCACCCGCACTATGTGCTACTACAGTAACCTCTGTTCACACACTGTGCAACGCTACAGTACATTTTTGTGTGGTCACTGAGGGCTCGCGTTTCATGTTGGGACCACTTTTTAATTTCGGGGTTAATCCCGCCCCAGCTCTCGAAAACAACAGGGAGGCAGGCTGGAGAAAGGACCAAGTTATTATGGCAGCGACAGACTTGCAAAATTGCCCCACAAAGCTGATCGGCCTGAGTGGAAAAACAAAATGCAATTGAGAAACTCATATTGCTTAGCAACACTGGCATAATACGAGAATTACTGAGAACAGATGCAGCATGGAGCAGCCGAAACATCCGGTCTATACTGTTAAGTGTTCTGGAATTTGTTTCTGAAGGGTTGTTTTTGGAACAACTTTCCTTGTATTAATAGCTTCGTCAAGCCCGCCCGGAACTGCTTTCGTGCCACCCGTAATTTTCCATCCCGCCCCCGCACCTCCCTTCCTTCCCATTTTCCCACCTCCCCGCGTCAGCTGTACGTGTACACCAAACTACTTGACAGCTGCTCAATCACCCCACTGCGAAAAAAACAGCTCCTGCCTCTGTGTTACCTCGCGTTGTGCGAATTCCAACACCCCCCCAGACTCCTCCCACCCACCCACCCTCTCCTTCCCATCCATGGCTTTCACTCTGCTCCTGCCTGACTCTCCTAAAAGCAGCTTGGGGCCCTCAGCTTTCTTCTACAAGCCAACTAAGCCCAGCTGATAAACTACCCCACCCTCCTTGATCGTATCCCATTTCTACATTCCGTTAGATTACATCGTCGTTCTTAGATTTGTGCTGTACGGTCTAGATTTCCACTCCATCTGTTTGCAGTAACAGTGTCATGTCAGCTGAAGTCGCCCTGCTGGTTGAGCGGCATTCCAGAGCTCAACACTCCTTCCCGCGCGATCCCGCAGAACCTCAATTGAAATTTCGACAAAATCCCCTACCGGCGCCGCGTCCGCATCCATTCGACGGCGGATCGCGCTCCGGTCACAATTACGCAGATTCCACGGCTCCATCCGCATCAGCTCCCGGCTCCCGCACCGCCGCGACCACCGCAAGCTGTGCCGCTGTTTCCGGCGAGAATTTCGGCGCCATGACGGAGTCTGCCACGTCAGCATCGGCGCCAGAGCCGGCCACCTACCCTTCGGCATACGCCCCTCATGCCGCTCTCCCATCAGCGTATAGTAACTGGGGCGGCGCGTTGCACGGCAGAGCGGCTAGTTTTGACTTTGTCGCTGGACCTAGTAGCGGGCGGCACACGTCAGCATCGAAGAAATCCAACGTGGCTTTCGTGAGCCACCAGAAGCAGCCCTCGGAGCAGTTCGATTCGCTAGCCGCCGCTCGATTATGGCTCCATTCTCCTTCGCTTGTCTCGAATGAGAGCGTTTTCGCAACTCCCGCTGCCGCCGCATCTCCCGCTGTAACGTCCCGCGGCGCATTCCCGAGTCGCCCCGATTCGCCGCAGAAAACGGCGTCGCGCGCATTATCCCCAGAAACGCCGACAATGCCGCAGCGGGCCCTTCCGGCGAAAAACACCGTGACGTCATCGATGCCTCCGCAGAGAAGCGCGAAAAGCGCTGGCAAATCCGCTGCTGCCGCCGGTTCCCAAGCCGGCGGCGTCTGCCGGCCGCGGCCCTCTCCGAGTCGGCGGACGGCACTCGGGATCGCCGACCTAATGGCTCTCCAGGCCGGCAGGTCTAAAGTCGGCGGCGACGGCCGCGGCTCGGGCACCGCGGCTCGAACGATATCGACCTCCCCAGCGGCGACTGTCAGTGCGGCGGCTGTGCGTCTGGATTCTGCGCCACGGACGACGGCCGCGCCGCCCGCGATGGTTGCGCCTCCGGCGCGCTTGCCGCCGCAGAGTGAGACACCGTTCTGTTTCCCCTCAATCTGCCAAATCAACGGCGCCAATTCTTCGTTTTCCGGTACCGGCGCGCAATTCGCGCTGCGCAAAAGCCCCCCGCATGCTAATCCGCGTGGAAGCGCAGCGATGAGGTTCCCCCGGTCCATGTCAGACGGGCAAGCCGTGCCACGTGGCAGCAGCAGAGCAAAGCCCGCTTTTCCGGTAATCGCACGAGTCGAGACGGACAACGTCGCCAAACCTTTGGAGCCGATTGGTGGCAGCGCCGATTTGCCGAGCCTGCACCAAGCCTGTGCGTCAGGTTCGGCAGTGGTGGAGAGCCGCGGGGCTGCGAGGGTCGGGAGGAAGTCGAGGCTCGGGCAGGGATGCGATG